AGGGAACTTGTAGGATATACGATAGTCTCTTGATGAAGCTGTACTAGCAAAATATTGAGCTAATAAAGTTATGTTCTGGAGATATAGGTTGTGGTTTTATCTAAGTTTATAGAAATGTCTCATAATAAATTCCAGTTTGAGTTAAACAACGTTAAGAATAATAAAATTAGATATAGTAGGATGAAAAATTCTAAGTTAGTATTACTTCTATAGGCTTCTGAAACAATCTTCCGAATGCTTGTGACAAGAGGATATACTCAGCCACTACCCCAGGGTGAGGTAAGAAAATATTTGTTGTAAAAGAAATATTTGTAGACTTATGATCAGTGTTCATCAATGTTATATTTTACATTTATAGGTAAATATATCCAGCAGTATTTGATTCATTCAGATGAGAGGACTAAAGTAGAAGTGATAAGATTTTATATATTAATTTTAGTTTTTAATTTACATCTTTTACTACAAAACTTAATCTGTAATGTAAGTTGTTTCTTTACTCATTTTCCTATAAGGGCCAAGCATGGCCTAATGGTTCTTACTGAGCTGACGGATAAAAAAAAATTCAAGGTTTGAACCAACAATATTCCATTAAATGTGCTCCACAATTTCAGTTATGCATGTTATAAAAGTGAGTCATTCCAACATTTTTGTTAAAAGCTGCTGCGTAGGCCCACGGTGCTGATGACTGGTTGTTCTCCCTAAAGTCAATAACTTTAAATCAGATATGTCTATGCTTAAACCTTGGTGTTGAAGAAGGTACCATTCTGAGATGATAACTCACCTCTTCACACAGTTTAGCTATTTTCCTCAGCGCATTTGTAAAACAGACTTGTACGCTGCTAGCCTTGAGGTAACTCCCACCTAATTTCATGTGATTTTTACATGAATTGTGCTACTGCATAGTTATGTTATCATGCAACAAAAGTCCTCCATCAATAGGATGGCAAAACACTTCCATGCACAATTATCTTAAAGAACACAGGCAAAATATAAGGAAAGGAACATACCTGAGAATGAAATCCAGAGAGATAATGAATGGTTAAGATCACATCATAAATGATAAAGAACCACCTAAAGCAAAACAGGTTAAGACCACAGTCTATTCCCAACTGAAGAAAAAAAAAATTGGCTGACAGGATGGGAGTAGGAGGCCCAGGAAGCATGTGACAGTTCAAAAAAAATTTTAACAATGACTTCAACACCTCCAACAGTTAATGAACCTCCTAACACCATATTAGAATGATGTCTAAGTATAAATCACATCATGCACTTAGGACTAAGTATTAATCACCATCATTTGAGAATTCATGATTAAAAGTTGAAGCTTTTGCAACAAAACCTAAGAAAAAATTGAAATTAATGCTTCTTTAACAATACAAATCTCAATAACTTCAACAGAAATGAGAAATTTAAACACATTTGTACAATATTATGCCGAGGAGAACAACGAAGTTTCACTAGTGCAAGAACGTCGTGGGGGATTATTTTTCATTTTATCATTTCATGACCAATGTTTCTTGGGATTACATTGTAATTTTTCCTTGCTTGTTATTAGAATTTATACTGTTTCCTTTACTCCTTTTCCTTTCATTGGTATGAATCTGGCCAACTTGGGGATTGTGCTCCTCGCTTTTTATCTCACTTTCCCATTCCTTAATTTTGCATTTTCATCTTTTTCTCTCTACCTTCCTGTACCCCCCTCTCCTACCTTTAGCTTTTATCTGAGGCACTTCTTGCTTCACATAGGCATCTTTGGATATTTCTTCTCTTCTCTGTTTGACCTATGCCACTTATTCTGCTCTTTCCCTCTGTAATTTGTTCTCCAGCAGTTGGGACTCTTTGTACCAGGTTACATCCTTTCCCATACACTTTTCTTTTTTATTATATATGCATTAATACCCTGGATCCCTTTCTTTACCCATATATTTGCACTGGTTTTCCTTTCTCCCTGGTAATCTGGACTGATATTCATTGTCTGCTGTTCTTGTTCTCTTTCCAGGGTTGTTTCCTCTTTCTCAATCTTGTCTTTTTATTCTTATTCCTCATCTAGATTAGTTTCATGCTGACCTTCCCATTCTGGATTCCAGGCTGTTCTCATTTTCTCATTATCTCGTTCATCATATAGATGTTTTTACAAACGTATGATTCTTGGGTATCCATCTCTTTTCCTGCTGTTGGACTTGCTTTCTGCCATTAGGCATTTTTTATTTCTCCATCTTGGTTTATTTCTTTCTCTTTTTGCTTTTCTTCCCATTTCCTAATCTTCTCCCTACAACCCAATCTATGGTCTTTTTCACCTTGTCTTTAGTCAGCCATGTTCATTGTGTCAGACACTTTCCTCCGCATCTTTCTCTGCTAATTTTCCCTTTGTTTTTTCTGTTTTGTCCATCCTTTTAGTGTATTCCCATTCCTTGCTCAAATGCAGGATGTTCTACATGCACAGTCTAGGTACTGTGACAAGTCCTTGAAGAGAGGCTTACAAAAGGACCCAAAAGAAATAAAGCTGTTGTTCCACAAGGTCCACTGTAGGAGATAGATGAGGGCATGCCCCAAAGGAAAGATGGGTTTTAGGGGAGCAAGTGTCCCTTAAAGCCAAATAACATGAAGTGAAAAAAATTGGTGACCAGATATGCCAATCTTTGCAGGCAAAGATGATAGACCAAAATCAGTTGAGACAAGAGAGGAAGAAAATGCTTAAAAGTACCCGACACTGAGTGGGTGTGAGAAAAGATAAACAATCCATTGTAAATCCCTCCACTCCCAACCAAGTAGCCACCATATAAGAAGGGAGGTAGAAAAAGGGAAAACATCAGCGAATGGGCTGACACATACAAATAGTCAAAGAAAAGGAATGCCTATCCTGGGTCATGAATATGGAAAGAAAAGACTCTCAATAAACTAATGAATACAAGAGGGGCTGATGCTGAGTCAAAGGGAACCTTTACTGCCTATCCAACTATATTTCTCCTTTCTTTGATGCTTCTCACTCTGAGGTACTTTTTTGATTAGGGCAGGACTTTCCAACGTTTGGACGCTGGATAAGAGTTCATATCAACGTGGTCAATCTTTTCACTCTTTGTTGAGCATGTTCTCATTCCTGCCCTTATAACTATTGGTGATGTTCCACTTAGTCTATTTTATAGTCTGTAGTCTTTCTTTGCTCCAACCATCCTGGAGATTTATGTTCCAGGGCCTTTAGTTTTCGGGCATAAGCCATACACTTCAAAACCCATTCATTTCATTTTCCAGGAGCTTCAGCCTTAGTGGTAGACTGCCTCTTTCAACCAGTCCATATTCCATCAATAGAGTAACCTGTACAATCCAAGGTCTTCTATGGTGTTTACTATTGGTTGGACATGCCCATCTTGGATGCTTTTGCCACCCTACTCATCTCGGACTTCCTCTCTTATGGTCCTCTATCCATCATCCTTTGGCTAAGGCTGTTTCTTTTCTCAGTCAGGCATGTTCTTGCATTTTTCTACCTACTTTATTTGTTTCCTCTTTCTGGGCCTCAGTTTACACAATACTCTCTTTATTGGGCCCTATTGTTGGCACCTCTTTGATCATCTTCACCTTGATCTGCTTGATACTTGGAAGGATTCTCTCCCATTATGCTCTCTCTCTCTTGCTTCACACTTTCCTTCCTCATTGAGATATATTCTTCCTCTGCCTTCACACTTGGACTCTATTCGATCTGATGCCCATTGGGCCAGGCTCTTCACTAATGTGACATTATTCTTGTCACATTCTTTTGTCCTTGGTCCTTCCACCTTCCCTTTTCTCCTGGCAGAAATTCTATGAACCCAATTTTTGCATTTCGTACCCGATTATTCATTGATGAATTTTCAGTCTCAACCTTTCCTGGATATTGGGTGGCTTTTCTCCTTACCAAGTACCAAGATTCTGGAGTTAATTTTCATGAAGTTTTATAGTTAGACAATGGAAGGGTAGTAAAGGTCGGTAAGAAATCCTCAGGTGTTTTCACTACCTCTGTCATATTAGAAAACAGTTTCTGCATGGTCTAAGTGCCAAAACCAATAGATCAGACTTTTCATAGCTGTAAGGAAAAATACCACTGTCATGGTGAGGGTTGCCATTTGGGTAACTGGAAGATCACAGCTGGTATGCAAAGGTATGATCACTATTGGTTGTACTTTCTACAAAGCTTTCTACCTATTTATGCCAATGATTAGCTAACTATGTAAGGCAGTATTTTCATCACAAAATGACTGGAAAACAGGGTATTATCATTTTCTCATTGCCAGACCAGTTGCTGGACATGAAACTATTTTAACATGAGCCTATCCTTAATTGTTCCATGCAAACTTATCCCAAACAACCAAATTCTAATGACACCCTATTCCAAGATTTTTGCTAGGAGTGGGATGCAATCTCACAAATCCAGATTTTTAGCTCTCGTAAGTACAATGTGTATCTGTATTTTTGACTTACATATTCCAAAGGGCAAATCTTGTATTCTTTGCTTTATATTTGTTTGTTTAATAAAATGTCCTTCTTTTTTTGGCATGAGTGTATATATGGGTAACTACTAATAAAATAGAATCAATTTGTTTACAAAAATTCTATCAGAAGTGTGTGAAATATCTGTTTCTAACAAGCTGAAATGAATGAAGCTAATATAATAAAAGCAAAATATTATGAACTGTTTCAGAACATTTCAGATTATTGAATATTAAACTTTGTGTTTTTCAAAATATCTTGAATAGTTGCAGTGAAGAAGTAAATTTCAGCACAATTGTTGGTAAAGAAATGTTTTAATGCTTGGAGAATAATGAATTATTAATTTTAGTTAAAAATAAAGCTATTCAACTTATCAGTAGTCATCCATGAAGGGTATTCTTTCTTGTATACATGGAACATTAGTTTGAGATACAAATTTGTAGACAATATTTATAATCCTCTATCTGTTTTGAGGGCTAAGACTTAATCTAGAATTATGCTTATACAAGATTTATTTTTACATTTTTAATTCTTGTGTCTTACTGTTAACCTCATTGATATTTTTTATTTATCTTGACTCTTTTTGAATAATTTTATTGTTTTTCTTAGATGACCATTTTTATCACAATTTCTTTAAATAGAGGTCTATTCTCTCAAAAGTATTTGTCAGTTTTACCTTGTTTCTTTTATTTACAGGTGTTAATATTTAGCCTTACAATGGGAGTATTAATGTATGTGATTAGGTAAGTTTTATAAATTTTGTATAAAAAATGTGAATATTATTTCGAGCATTTGCAATTTTTTTAAAATTTTTATAAAAATGTTACAATAACTATATGTTAAAAAGGTTATTAATGACATATTTTTGATGTTCTTAAGAATATCAGTTTTCTGTAATAAAGTGAATTGTGTTTAATGTCTTTTTATTTTTAAATGTTTCCCCCGTGTCACAAAGAAATATGTTCAGCATTTTATTACGTATAAGTATTCTCAGATTCTATGCTATTTCTTATAATTATTATAATTATTACATTTGTTAGACACAATTAGCAACAAAAAATTTTGAAGTATATAGTGATTATTATTAGCAAAATTTATATTTTTATAAACCACATGGTAAAGATGTTTCCAGGTAATCTTAATAAGGAATTATATTCCTAAAACAACTACAGCTGACATGAACAAGAATCCTTTTTGAATAAACCTTTTCATGAATATCTTTCACATGATTTTTATTTTTATTTGGCAATCAGGAGAGGATCTCTTAAAGGTGTGTAATTTTAATTTTTAATTTATCAGCTATATGTCTAATTGCTAATGTGATTTTTCAGAGTTGTATTAATTACTAATGGAAAATAGATAAAACTTTGAGATGATGATTTTTTTAAGTGCATTGAAAAAGAGAGAGAGAGGCCTGACTTGCAGACAACAATCTTTTATACTAATTTCAGCTTTTATGTTACATAGCTTCTAAATATATAGATGTTTTCACCAAGGTACCTTGCATGTATCTGCTCATTGAGTAAAGTTCCATGCTTTTTCCTACCTGATGTGGTGTACTGCAGGTAGTAGTACATTCTTGTGTCATAAGTCCAATGGAAGTACATTGGTTATATATAAAGAATAAAAACTGTAAGATAAATAGTTGAGTTTTTAGTTGAGTATCTTCTAGAAAAGATGATAAAATTGCAACTGTTAAATGAAACTTGTATTTCCTGATCAACTTAAACTTTAACTGATACATATTATGTAGTAGCATTCAGACTTAGTATTGTTAGAATATCCAAAAAAGTCTTAGTAAATTGTCAGTTTTGAATTTCATAGTTTTCTTTTTGCAAAAATTCTAAAGTTAAAGTTTCTATAATGGGAATATACAGAGTAGGTAGTTATGTTCTGATAATGTTATTCAACTGCACCTAAAACAATAACTTAAATGATGCAAGATTGAGTGTTATGTTAAAATAAAAGCTTACTGAATTCGATGATGAGGAACCCACTTTGAGACAGTGAATTCTAAAGATGGCTTGAATGTGTAATGAAGAAAACTTTATTGAACATTTAACATATTAACAAGTGTACAGTATTTCAATTCAAAGTTATGAACATCATGTATCTGATAATTTTATATCCATTTAGTCAGTTGGTTCTAGAAAAACAGGTGTTTGTTTTGGACTTCACAGTTTATACTACTTCTAAACCAAGTTAAGAAATTCTGAGAATGAATTAAAATCATGTGATTAACACAAATGTACAGTTAAAAAATTATAATGCAGAACATACAAAAACATTTTTGTTTCTTTGTGTTTTAGAGTTCTGTTTGTTACATTATTTTACTATCAACATTCCTGAAAATAAGTGCATGAAACATTTAAAAACTTAAAACATAATACATTTTAAAATAAGTTACATTCATATAGAAAAAATAAAACTTCACACACCATGGTTAGATTTACTGTTGCTATGTTTCCACTTTGTAATTTTCTTTTTCAAGAATCATGGTAAATTTTTAGTTTAAAGCATCAGTGAATCTGCATAACGCCAGGTGATTTGATTTTTAATAATCCATGACTTGTTAGTGGCACACAGTAAACAAATGACATAGAGTCTGTATATGTATTAAATTAATTCACTCCCAATTTGCTGTATCTATGATGATAACTATCTTCTCTAGTGACTTTGAATTATGGTAACCACACTTGGAATGAGAAATATATACTTTTGGTCAAATCTTAGTTCTAACTTGTAAAATACAAAATCTATCATAGTTTTCAAATTTTCAAATAGTTTTTAGTATGTTTTGAGGAACTTTGCTTTAATTTTCTTTACATTAAAGGCTTGAATTGCTATTACTTTGATATTATTGTGCCACCTTACAGCAAAAATGGCTGTGAGTATTGTAATAAAACCTAGGCAATATTACCAAACTCATCATTGCCCATTGTGTAGGATAGTTTTAAGCTTATTTGACTACCTAAGAAATAACTGGCTGTATAAACGTTGACACCCAATCATTTTAATGTAGTCTGTGGTTTATATGGGATCTCATAAGCTACTACATGCGTATGTATATAGCTGTGTGCAGGCTGTGGATGTAATTTAATGTTTACATGGTAGGCATGACACATGTACCATAGAGATTATTAACTTACTGTTGCAAGTGTATTGATTTTGCATATCATTTGTTTATGTGTAGAGTTCCTGCCCTTTCAGACATGATGCTGCTGACAGGATCACTAGACAGCCCAGACATTTGTATAACATTTTAAACAATTGTGTAACGTTTTAGATGTTTGTGTAACATGGCCCGAAACTGATCATGCAGTGGTAAAAAAAAAAAAATCCTACAATATAAATCTTTAAGCATTAGTTTAAAAGATAGTACCAAGTTCAGTTTCGAGCATTAGATCTGCAATCATGGTGATGGCTGATGGTAATTATCGAATTATAGCCAACACTGCATGATTGTAAGTTTAATAGGTATTGCAGATAGAGTAGCCATCCTTGAAGCTGACTATAAGGAGTGGCAAGAATCGTGCAAGTAGGAGATGGCAAAAATGATGGCTGTTCTAGATGAAAGTGAGGCAGAAAATGTGTAGCTATATTATTTAGAAAATATTTAGCTTCGGATAAAGTATGCAGCAGCGAAGGCCCACCAAAGTTTAGGGTCGTCACAGTGGAAGAGGGTTGTAGAAGTGTCACGACCCAAATTCCATCAGAAATGGAGGGGTAAAAGTATATTAATATAATCAATTCATAATTGTTAATTAACATGTTTTCAACCTCGTAGAGTGTGCAGAATGTCACTCTTAAGAGGAAATTTGGCCAGCTGCAGCAAAATTGTGACTGGCCTTACTATGGTCAGTGGAGAGGAGGAAGAGGAAGGGGGGGGGAATATAACAACTGTATAGAAATATTAAAAATGATTATCTCTATATGTATGCTATTATATTATGATACATATTATACACACACACACACACACCTGCCTAAAAGCTTGAATATTTAGGAGAGTCAAAATAGGGATTTGTAGCTTGAGGAAATAATGTTAACACTATGTCTTAAACTTTAAGCTTGTTTGTTTACTTTTTTGTGTTTGTATTTTCACTTTAAGCTACCTATCTTGTTTCTGTAATTCTTTTATGATCCTTATACCTCCCCTTTTTGAAATTAACAATTTTTAATAATCTTGTATTGAAAAGATTTACAGACTTGTAAGCAAGTAAAAATGTAGACACAATATACATCCTTTCAGTTTATTTATCCTTGCAGTGCATGTCTCAATGCAATCACTTGATCATTACACTAGTGCTGGTTTCAAACAAAAAATTTCAACACCATAGAAAAAGAGTGGAATAACTTTGTAAATGGCATAATATAATTATATAATGCAATTAAATTTAGTAAAGAAAAAAATTATGGTTAATTGTTTTATCGCAAATAGCTATATTTTTGATCTAACTCGAGTAAAAGGATTTCTTAGACTTATTCCAATCTTCTTTATATGTTTAAAAATATGTTATAGTTTTCTTCCCGATTATCCAAGAAATATGTTAAATGGACTGACTTAACAAAAAGAGTTATTTCATGAAAGTGAAATATCTTTAGAGTCTGAGTTTATTTATTAATTGGGGAAAAAGTTAATATGATCTTATGGTTTTATCATTATGACAGAGTTTCACACTTTTTTTATGATTTTTTTTGTATCATTACAAAGGTGACCACAATTTCTGCCAGTCAATGATTAATGGGCATTATCAGACAGAAGTGGGTTAAAGGTTAAATTTTATAATAAACTGTTTGACTTCTGTGGAATATTGTGAATTACTGAGTCACTTAACCCTTTCACTACTGCAGTGATTGGGTTAACTATGTATTTTAGGGTTGTTGATTTTATCAATGATGTGGCAGATTCTTTACAATATATATTAAAGATTCTTGTAATTTATGTAATTTTTACACATTATATACTCATTCTGTGTTCTAAATATGTTATTAATGCACTTAGTTTTTTGAGATGATAATTATGTATCGCACCTGCTTGTTTATGTTTAAAATATAATACTCCAAGTTAAGTCAGTCTGCTTTTAACTGTAGTTTATTAAAACTTTAAGAATTATTGACATTATCATATAATGTACATGCATAATTTTTCATTAGGAAAAATGGTTTTTCTAAAGACTTGGTTGGCATGGGAATGAGGTAAGCATTTTATTGAATTTTTGTTTTGTTGGTAAAAGTTATGCCAATGATTTATATGTATTAGCTTGTCAAGAAATTAATGTCGTGTTTTGAAACACTTTCATTAACCACCCCCCAAAAAACGTACATCACGTATAATAGTTAAACGAACTGCCTAAATGTCACATTATTATAGCCTGTATAATGTGTAAAGTTTAGTATACTCTAATCCCTTATAGTGATGGTACACGACGAGATACACAATCGACATGTAATGCTGTTTGAATACAAGAAGGGAAACAACGCCTCAGTAGCCACAAAGAATATCAAAGAAATTTATGGAAATGTTTTGAATGTTTGTAAGTGTC